GCAGCAGCAGCAGCAGCAGCCGCTGCAGCAGCAGCAGTTGACACAGCAACAGCAGCCGCAGCAGCAGGAGCGCCAGGACCCCTGAAAGAACTGCAGCAGCTTCGTTCACTTGCATGCGGCAAGCCTTTATTGAGCAACGGCAGCAGCAGCAGCAACAGCAGCAGCAGCAGCAGCAGCAGCAGCAGCAGCAGCAGCAGCAGCGTGTGGTTCACAGCTTCACTATGGCGGCTGCATGCCTTAGGCAGACACCAGGATTTGCTGCTGCTGCTGGAGAGGTACTCGCAGCAATGTGCAGCAGACCCGCAGTTGCTGCTGCTGAAGGCGCATACTCTGGTGAGCAGCAGCAGCAGGTGCTGCTGCTGCTGCTGCTGCTGCTGCTGCTGCTGCTGCTGCTGCAATCGTAGACCAATCAGCGACGCCTGCTGCTGGCGATTCTGCCCTGGGGGCTGCTGCTGCTGCTGCTGCTGTTGCTGGTGTCGCTGCTGTTGCTGCTCTCGGTGCTATCACCCTTAAATGGCCAGCTGCTGCTGCTGCTGCTGCTGCTGCTGCTGCTGCTGCTGCTGCTGCAGGTGCACGTGCAGAGGCACAGGGACGCCGCAGAGCTTCTGCTCTGTAACGCGACACGAACGGGCGTGGTGGTGAGGGTTTAGGGTTTAGGGTTTAGGGTTTAGGTTTTAGGGTTTAGGGCTAAGAGTTCAGGGTCTGTCCCGCTTGTGAACTTGCTGCTGCTGCTGCTGCTGCTGCTGCTGCTGCAGGTGCTTACCTGGCAGCAGCTGCTGCTCGCCAGGGTGTACAGACAGTGCAAGTTCACGCAGCTCTGCATTGAGGCTTTTCGGAGCTGCTGCAGCAGCAGCAGCAGCAGCAGCGGCAGCGTGACAGCTGCTGCCTTTGCTGCAGCAACTGAGCTTGTGGGTACCTACCTCTTGTCTCCTGAGGAAGGTAGGTCTGCTGCTGCAGCTGCTGCAGCTGCTGCTGCAGATGCCGCTGCAGCTGCTGCTGCAGGCGCTGCTGCTGCAGCTGCTGCTGCAGACGCTGCTGCATCTGCTGCTGCAGCTGCTGCTGCAGACGCTGCTGTAGCTGCATCTGCTGCTGCAGCTGCTGCTGCAGACCCTGCTGTAGCTGCATCTGCTGCTGCAGCTGCTGCTGCTATTGTCATACTGCGGAGCTTCCCAGGTGCTGGTTTGCTGCTGCTGCTGCTGCTGCTGCTGCAGAGCTGAACATTCTCACCGCTGTAAGCGGATCACGGAAGGATCTGCCCTACAGGTGCTGCAAACCCTAAACCCTAAACCCTAAACCCTAAATAGAGAACCCTTTCTTTAAGCCCTACTGTCGAGCCCATAAATGTGGCAGTTGGGGAGAGCTGTGCAGCAGCAGCAGCTGCTGCTGCTGCAGCAGAAGCTGCAGCAGCAGCAGCAGCAGCAGGAACCGCGCCTCGTTCCAGCTTTGCTGCCTGCAGGTGGCTGCTGCTGCGTCGTGCCGAATTGAGTCCCTGCAGCAGCAATCTGCTGGCTGCTGCTGCTGCTGCTGCTGCTGCAGAGCTGAACATTCTCACCGCTGTAAGCGGATCACGGAAGGATCTGCCCTACAGGTGCTGCAAACCCTAAACCCTAAACCCTAAACCCTAAATAGAGAACCCTTTCTTTAAGCCCTACTGTCGAGCCCATAAATGTGGCAGTTGGGGAGAGCTGTGCAGCAGCAGCAGCTGCTGCTGCTGCAGCAGAAGCTGCAGCAGCAGCAGCAGCAGCAGGAACCGCGCCTCGTTCCAGCTTTGCTGCCTGCAGGTGGCTGCTGCTGCGTCGTGCCGAATTGAGTCCCTGCAGCAGCAATCTGCTGCCGCTTTATCAAAAGAATGTAAGCAGCAAAAGCAGCAGCAGCGCCAGCAGCAGCAGCAGCACCAGCAGCAGCAGCAGCACCAGCAGCAGCACCAGCACCAGCAGCGGCAGACCTCCTCGTGCAGCAGGTGCTGCTGCGCTTATTCTTGCAGTGCCGACGCAGAAGCGGCACAAAACCGCGACGAGCTGCTTTTGCTGCTGTTGCTGTTGCTGCTGCTGCTGCTGCTGCTGCTGCTGCTGCTGCAGGTGGCTGGCGCCGTCTCAGTGCTGCTGCAGCAGCAGCCGCCTCCGGCTTACCGCTGCTGTGGAGTTGCTTCCTCAAGGTATTGCAAGCAGCAGCACCAGGACCTGCAGCAGCAGCAGCAGCAGCAGCAGCAGCAGCAGCAAAGGCTTTTGGCGTAAAACAGACCTGCCAAAACTTAGCCGAACGCTGAGAATTGCATGCGGAGGCCTACGGCTTAGGGCGTAGGGTTTAGTGCCTAGGGTTTAGGGTTTAGGGTTTAGGGTTTAGGGTTTAGGGTTTGTGGCTTCTCAGCTTCAATGTGAGGAGTGTTGCGCGGCGCGCGCTGGTTGCTGGGAGGCCTGAGGACGCGCTGGGCATTTGCAACCTGTAAACCCTAAACCCTAAACCCTAAACCCTAAACCCTAAACCCTAATCCTTGTGTGGCCTGAGTCTCCACAAACCCCAGGGGCCAAACCCTCGGGGATTCCGAGCCTGGCGTCTGCGGCCCAGGCGCTTTGCTGGATGCTCGTTTGAGGGTTCAGGGTTTAGGGTTTAGGGTTTAGGGTTTAGGGTTTAGGGTTTAGGGTTTGTGCAGCCTTCTTAACGGAGACCCGTTTGACCCGGAGGCGATTCGCATCGCATGCAATGCAACCCTCTCTGCGCGTGAGCTGCTGCTGCATATCTGCTGCTGCTGCTGCTGCTGCTGCTCTGCTGCAGCAGGAGCTGCTGCTGCTGCTCCTACCTCAGCTGCGTCCCTGTGCTGCTTTTTGCTGCTGCTGCGCTGCAGCCCACTCAGTAGAGGGACTGCAGCAGCAGCTGCTGCTGCTCGCGCAGGCTGAAGGTAGAAGGAGCTGCAGCCAAATTGCTGCCTTGGAGTGCTTGGTGGTTAGCAACTGCTGCTGCTGCTGCTGCTGCTGCTGCTGCTGGCCAGTGTCTGCAGGACTACATGATAGCTCGTGCTGCTGTTGGCCACTCTGTTGCTGCGTATCTGCTGTTGCTGCTGCGGCTGCTGCAGCACGGGACAATAGACTTCATATTTGGGGAGTTTAGTGCTGCAGCTAAGTCTACTTCGTAAGGCAAGCGCAGCAGCAGCAGCAGCAGCAGCAGCAGCGGGGTAGTGAACAGCAGCAGAAGCAGAGTCAGCTGCTGCTGCTGCTGCTGCATGTGCTGCAGTCGGGAGATTCGAGAGGGCAGCGAGTCTTTGGAGCTGCTGCTGCTGTATGCTGCAGCAGCAGAAAGAGAGTTGGAGCAGCTGCAAGTACAGGGAGGGAATCCTGCTGTTACAACCCTAGAGCTGCTGTATCCGTGGTAGGTGGGCTGCTGCTGCTGCTGCTGCTGCTGCTGCTGCTGCTGCTGCTGCTGTTGCTGCTGCTGCTGCTGCTGCTGCTGCTGCTGCTGCTGCAGTTACGCAGAAGGCCGCTCAGATCGCCGTTTCCTTGCGTGAGCACCTCGCTGTTGCTGCTGCTGCTGCTGCTGCTGCTGCTGCTGTGCAGCTGCAGCGACGTTTTGCTGCTAGCTGCTCGGGCCTACATGGAAGAGAGACGCAAAAGCAGCTCTGAGCTGCAGCAGCGGGAGTCCGGAGCAGCTGCTGCAATGTACATACACCGGGCTTTGTAAGCAGACTTGCAAAGTGCCGCTGCTGCTGCTGCTGCTGCTGCTGCTGCTGCACTTTGGTAGCGGTTGGTCTGGTGTGGCCATTTGTACGATCCCTTAGCTGCAGACGACGGCGGGCGCTGCTGCTGCTGCTGCTGCTGCTGCTGCTGCTGGTTTAAATGCTGCTGCTGTGGGCAGTCATGGAAGCGCAGCTGCTGCTGCGGCTGTTAAGGACAGCGCGTCTGCTGCTGCCATTGCTGCTGTGCTGCTGCTGCTGCTGCTGCTGCAGGGAGCTACGTCCGGGCTGCCCGCTGCTGCTAAACGAATTGGGGGCAGTGGCGGCGGAAGCAAAAGAGTGCGTACCCGCGTTGCTGCTGCTGCTTCTGCTGCTGCTGCTGCTGCTGCTGCAGATTCAGCCGATTTGCTGCTTCCGTAGGACGCGCCAAAGTGCGCTGCGCATGTATGTACTTTAATTTTGCTGCTGCTGCTGCTGCTGCTGCTGCTGTTTCAGCTTCAAGGGCGCGTTGCATTGGCTGGAGAGGGCGGTGTCTGCTGCTGCTGCTGCTGCTGCTGCTGCACCCGGCGACTGCCCAGAGCTGCCGCATTACTTGAGCAACCTGGCAGTCTGCCGGCTGCGGGCGGGCTGCCAGGAAGCTGCTGCTGCTGCTGCTGCTGCTGCGCTGCAAGCAGCAACAAAGCTTGCGCTGCTCGCGGCCTGCCCTGTGGAGCCCGTCGGCGCTGCAGCTGCCTACGATTCGCTGTACGAGCTGCAGCAGCTGCGCTGCAGCAGCAGCAGCAGCAGCAGCAGCAGCAGGATGGGGTGTGCTGCTGACTCTGCTGCATCTGCTGCCACCGGCAGCAGCCTGCGGCGCTGCTTTGCTGCTGCAGATGCTGCTGTGCTGCTTGCTGCTGCAACAGCCTATACTGTCTTAGGCGCAGTAAATCTGCAGAGTGGCAGAAGCGAAGCTGCAGTTACTCCCTTCGCCAACGTACGTGCTGCTGCTGCTGCTGCTGCTGCTGCTGCTGCTGTTTTACTTGCTGCTGTTATGGTTGCTGCTGTGGGCCTGCGCGGCACCCTTATGTGCGGTGCATTTGCTGCAGCAGCTGCTGCTGCAGAGGTGAACCGTGCTGCAATGCCACCCGTTGCAGCGCCGCTTAACTGTGGTTTGCTCTTGCTGCTGCTGCTGCTGCTGCTGCTGCTGCTGCTGCAGGCAGCAAGCCTGACTCAGGCGTATGAGTCTCGGATTAGCAGCCGCAGCAGGAATGGGCTGCGTCGATTTCAAGCGGCAGCAGCAGCAGCAGCAGCAGCAACTGAAACACCGACGCAGCAGCAAAGCTTGCGGGTGCGCCTGCTGGAACGCCTCCACACGCTGTCGATGGAGGCAGCAGCAGCAGCAGCAGAGCCAGCAGCAGCAGCAGCAATAGCAGCAGCAGAAAGCAAGATCATCCTGGGTGGCCCCCTCACAAGGCCTCCTCCTCGGGCGTGGCTAGAGCAGCAGCAACGGCCGCTGCTGCTGCGGCAGCTGCTGGAGCAGCAGCAGCAGCAGCAGCAGTCAGAGCAGCAGGCCCAAGAACTCGAGCAGCAGTTGCTGCAGCGCCAGAGGCATCTGCAGCAAAGGCTGCAGCAACTCAGTGAAGAGGAGACAACTGAGTGGCTAGCGCTGGTGCAGCTGCAGCAGCAGCAGGCGAGAGACAAACTAGCTGTGCTGGCAGCAGCGCTAAGCAGCAGCAGCAGCAGCAGCAGCAGCAGCAGCATACAAAGCAGAGCAGACGAATTTAGCAGTCATTGAGGACGGAGCGCGTCATTCGAATTGCAGCAGCAGCAGAAGTTGCTGCAGCTGCTGCAAAAGCAGCAGCAGCAGCGGCTGCTGTTGTTTCAAACGAAAACACTCTGCTCTGCAGCAGCGCAGCAGCAGTTGCTACCTGCTGCAGCAGCAGCAGCGGCAGCACCTGCTGCTACGCAGCGCGAACACAGCCATCGCGGCAGCAGCTGCAGCCGCTCCCGCGGCTTTTGCTGCTGCTACGCCTCATACGGCAGCTGCTTGCATCGCCCGGCTTTCGGCCTCCGCGTAATCCTTTGGGTCGACTTTGCGCAGCGTGACGATTCTGCATGCAAAAGGAAGCAAAAGAAGACCCGAGGCGAGCTGCAGCAGCAGCAGCAGCTGCAGCAGCAGCAGCAGCAGCTGCAGCAGCAGCAGCAGCAGCAGCAGGGCGAGCGTGGAGCAAGACTTACGGCTGCAGGGCCTCTGCAACAGCAGTCAGTGCTGCTTCTGCTGCAGCAATTGCTGCTTCGCTGCTGCGCCGTGCATGCAGCTCGACGAGCCAGCAGCTGTTCTCGCCCCACAGCGGCCGCTGGTGGGCCCGATCCTGCAGCAGCAGCAGCAGCAGCAGCAGCAGCAACAGCAGCAGCTGCTGCACTTGCCGTGCTTGCAGCAGGCGAAGACGCGAGGAGCAGCAGGCAGCAGCAGCAGCAAGAGCAGCACGGGTCCCGACAGCAGCCGCAGCAGCACCAACACCAGCAGCAGCAGCAACACAAGCAGCAGCAGCAACAGCAGCAGCAGCAGCAGCAGCAGCAGCAGCAGCAGCGCACGAGGAAGTGCTGCTGCAGCAGCAGCACAACGTGTCTGCCTGTCTTTGGCTTGAAGTGGAAAACGTCGGCCTTCACGTGGACAGAGCCAACCCGCCTAAATCCCAGAAGCAAAATAAATAAATAAATAAATAAATAAATAAATAAATAAATAAATAAATAATTAATAAAATAATTAAATTAATTAAAATAAATAAATAAAATAATTAAATTAATTAAAATAAATAAATAAATAAATGGTTTTATTTATTTTGTCCACGCAAACTCGCCCTCAGTGCATGCGCAGGCAAAAGAACGAGGGAAAGGCCAGCTGGGGGCTCCAAACCCTAAACCCTAAACCCTCGCCCTAAACCCTAAACCCTCGCTTTAAACCCTCGCCCTAAACCCTAAACCCTTGTCTAACTCAAACCCTAGGCCGTTCCCCTGAGCCCGCGCTCTAAACCCTAAACCCGCGCGCTAAACCCCAAACCCGAAGTCTGCGCTGCAAACCCTAAACCCGCGCGCCAAACTCTAAACCCTAAACCCGCGCGCCAAACCCTAAACCCTAAACCCGCGCGCTAAACCCTCAACCCGCGCGCTAAACCCTAAACCCTAAACCCGCGCGCCAAACGCCAGGCCCGCGGCCCGAATCGCAGGCCGTCTCGCGCAGCCGGGAGCGCTCGGGGGCGCGAAACCCTAAACCCTAAACCCTAAACCCTAAACCCTAAACCCTCGGAGCTACCTGAAGCCAAGAGCCCCCAAAAGGCCCCGCATGGCTTGGGTGGTTTCCACTGCAACAACTTGCTGCACTTCTGCTGCTCTCCTGGCCTGCAGCCCTCCCACGAGAACGCCCTGGTCTCTGTAGTAGAGGACGCTGCGCGCAAACCCTAAACCCTAAACCCTAAACCCTAAACCCTAAGCCCTAAGCCCTAAGCCCTCGCCCGGAGCCGAGCCGCCCCCGGGCGCGCGGAAACCCTAAACCCTAGACCCCCGCCACTGCGCCCGGAACCCTAGACGCTGCGCTGAAGAAAAGGCACCTCGCGAGGGTTTAGGGTTTAGGGTTTAGGGTTTAGGGTTTAGGGTTTAGGTTTAGGGTTTGGCGCTTGCCACGAATCCTTGACTGTGGAGGGCTCCGTGTACCACCGCAGGGTCACCTCTTGCGGTGTCTCTGCACGCTTCCGCATGTCCATACACCCTGCAGCAGCAGCAGCAGCAGCAGCAGCAGCAGCAGGGGTAGAGCGGGCAGCAGCCCTGCTGCTGAGAGCGGCAGCAGCAGCAGCAGCAGC